TCGTCCAATTGCGGCTCCCACTGGCGGGAAGCGGTGACCAGCACATCCCTCGGCCCGCGCCGCTTCCCGCAGCCCCTATTGGCCTGGAGCAGCAAACCACGGCCAGTGGGAGCCGCGATCGGCCGTGTGCCAAAGGTTGCCGATCCCTGGTATATACTAAGGAAATCCACCCTGCAATGATGTAGTGACACTGGCTCAACCCCCTAATGATGTCCCAGTGCAGCTGGCTTTAGTACCAACTTCAGCAGCACCGATGTATGCCCCAGTCTGTGCTGGTGCAGCATTAGTGGTTGTTCGGGTGTAAAGGAATGACTGTAGCTACAATGGTGTGCATATCCTTAGTCCATAGCCTGTGCTCTCCAGGAGGTCTGACTATGTGATCACAATGGTCCCTTCTGGCCTTGGAATCTCTGAAGCTAAATGCAGCGAGCCCCGATGATTTTTAAAGAGGGTGGTAATTATGCTAGACGGGGGCACCACGATTAGAGGGCAGCCTGACCTGAAAGCCCACGGAGGGGTTTTAAATTAAAAGGGCATCGTATTTCTCATACGTTTAAAACAAAGCTTTTCCTCGTTGGTTATAATCTCCTCGTTTAGGTGCTTCGGTATGGTTGCTCGTAAGTGCTTAGCAGCTGGCTTTGATTTTGGTGGCTCTGAGACATTCATAGAATGGCAGGGGATTGGCAACTAGAGAGAAGATTAAAAAGGAAGCTCAAATGTTAACTCTAATGCAGCTGTGGCAACGTATCTTCGGGGGAAATGGGTTCCCTGTGATCTTGAGTGGTCTGGTTTTCCAGGAAGTCAAAGCAGGAACAATTTTCTTGGCAGTAGGTAGAACTTTCCCTGTATTTTCGTATTCCACTGGAAGCTCATGCAGGCTAATCCCCAACTACAGGCCAGACCCAGCTACCAGGGTGCTAGCCCTATTTCCCTGGTAGCCTTCTGGGGCCCACCTCTCACTGCCGTGCAGCTTGTGCAGTCAGATTCAAAGCCGTGGAGAATCAGGCCCACAAACATTTTGTCTATGAGCCAGAAATGTCCTTGGAGGAGGGAGGGTGTACGGTTCCTAGGCAGACATGCCCTGATAGCCTAGGCCCATTGTGGTAGTAAGAACCTCAGGAGGGATTGTTTTCTAAACAAATCTGCCTACACCAGCCAGGGAAGCCATGCTAGAACCAGCTAGCAACGACTGTACATGCACCTAAGGCTTAAACTCAACCAGAGCTGTCCGGAGCAGAGCTCTGGTCAATATTTTCAAACCCACGGGGCAGAAGCCCCGAGCCCCAGGAAATAATCGGAGAATTTAAGCCCTGCATTCACCCACTCTAGGCGTGACCCAAATGTGGCTTTGTGACGGGACTGCAGATAGAGCTTGTGGCCTTGGGCAAGTCACACTCTCTGGGTCAGATCGGGGCCTGCTCTGTGCTCCCACACTGGAGAATATGGGGGGTGGGAGGCACTTCCCTAAATCAATGGTAGGAGCCCGAGGAGATGGGGAAGCAGCCATTGCAAAGCCCCTGCTCCCCTTCTCCCGCAGATGAGTGAGGCATGAGAGTGAGCAAGGCCTTGGCTTCACACACATACCCTGCCCATCCCCTAGCATGCACTGGGCAGCAGTGGGGTCACAGTCAGCTATGCTGCTCCAGGCGCAGCCTGTGAAGCAATGTAGTTCACCAGGCTCATGGCACTGCCATGACGGAGCCCTCTACGTCTCAGTCTTCCACCTGCAAAATGGGGATAATTCTACCACCCCACCTCAGAGGGGCCCTACCAGGCTTAGTCCAGTGATCCAGTTTGTAAGACATGGTGAGATCCTCAGGTGGAAGATGCAAGAGAAGTGCAAAGTATTCATAATGATTGTGTCTCAGTAGTTGATTTCATTTTAAGAGCTCTGCCCTGTGGAGAGTCCCAGCCACTGAGAGGTTAAGGACAAGCAGACCCCATGAGGTAAGTAAGTTTTTTCACTCCAGTTCTCTGTTGCTGCCCTTCTGGTTTTGTTAAGGCTGGTGACAGACCCAAAATTCATCTGACCTTGTCTTTATCTTCTGTCTGTTTGTACAGGCTCTGGAATTCTCTTTGGCGCTATTTCCAAAACAAATGCTTCAATTCTCTTTGTAAATAAATACAAAGAAACCAACTGCCAGCAACCCTGCCATAAAGAGTCAGTGGGAGTGTAGGAGGGAGGGAAGGAGCAAAGATAATGGCAGGAGAACAGCTTTTCATCGTCAGAGGGAGCAAAAACAATATTTGAATAATACCTCATACCTCAGCAGCGTCCTTCAAAGTTTCTCTCGTTGGATGTGGAGGTTCTTCGTGAGCCAGGCCTTCCTTCACACACTAGTAAGTGTTACAGTCTTAGAAGATGGCTTGCAAGGAGTGAAATTACATCAGTTCTGTCTGTGCTGAGCATGGGGAAAGATCTGGCCTTGGATATAGTCCACCAACCCCAGATCGCGAGAGATTATTTATTAGAAGCAGAGCGGTTTTAAGGCTGTTGAAGAACCACAGACGCAGAGCAGGTCCTTGAATTGTTCTTCCATATCTACTATGGGGTCTGCAGAGCGCTTCACAACATAAACGTCTCTGACGAGGACACATCTAAGGTTATGGACCTTCTGTCAGAAGAAACTCTACTACAATCCCTCTTTTACAGAGTTTGTTGCTTAGATGCCAAGGATCAAATGACAACAGCCTGTAATTTATCTGGCCTTCACTGCTGGCTTAGATGCGCATTTGTTTATTGAAACTGTATAACATATTTAAGTGGCTCTGGGTGTACTGTGATAGTGCACTAGCTGAAAATCAAACACAAATACAAAAAAAAAACCCTACTACATGCTTAAGACCAAAAGGCAGTAAGTGAAGTAGCATAAGTATTTGGGGTCATTTGTAGGGAGGGGAGAACAAACAGGAAACAGCTGAGATATGAATGAATGTCCTTTATAAGCAATTATTGGTCACAGTTTTGGAAAATTAACTGTAAGCGCAGTATATGCTTTATTTTTGCTTTAATATTTTTATGGGTGGAAGATTGTCCATTAACTTCAGTTTGCAACAACAAACAACAAAAGAACCAAGCAAAAATTCCTTAAAAAACAAAACAAAAACCCAACCCCTCCCAGCCCAAGAAATAGGAGGAGACAAGCCCACCCATGAAGGAGAAATAAATCTACTAGGAAACAGAGACCCCACAACCCCACCACTCACACAAAAGCAACAACTACAAGCTACTCTTCCTCATCTCCTCATGTCTCTAGAGAGTCTATATATGCATACGCACACAGAATCACAGAGATCCCAAGCAGGATGCTGTCAATTCCCACACACAGGGAATGCCTAAAATTTCGCAACAATTTTGAGAGGAGATTTTTATTTTGCAACTACAAATTCTTTTACACAATTCCAATCCGAATGTGAAGGATTTACTGTAAGCTCTGGGGAGCGCTCACTGCTGTGGACTCAGTAGCAGACTTTCAGCTAAAGAGGCAACACTACAAAGGCTGGGGGGCAGATTCTTAGCTGGTGTAATCAGTGTAGTTCCTCTGTGGCCATGGCACTCTGCGAATTTACACTGTCTGAGGATCTAGCTTAGTCTCGCTCTAAAATGGCCATAAATTTTTTGATTCCCTGAAGCTGCTTGATTGCTTCCCTCCCATTAATGCTTTGATGTGTGTCACCATGGTGATTTTACCGGATTGCTATCTCCCGCTGCCTTATGTGTGATTTCCCACGACAGCGAGAACTCTGCACTTCCTATATTTGTGTCCGTGTGTATGGCGAACGACAGTCATAAAGTACACTGGCTAGTCATCACTGCCACCCATAACACTGACAACACTACCCCTCCCCCACTCTCCTGCAATCGCCAGCAGTGTGACCCACAGCTGTTTCTGGAGGGACTGAAACACCAAGACACTTGGGTTTTCCATGAGACAGCAGCAAAGTGACTGATTTAGAGGGACAGCAGGCTGAATACAAACCACTCAGATTATAAAGCACTGCCCTCGACTCATTAGCTAATTAGTATCAAGGATTCCCCACAAAACATTATTTGGGGGAGTTTTGTCTTGGGTTGCTCGCAGAACAGGGAAGCTGATTTCTTTGTCCTCCTGGGGGAACAATCTATTGAAGTAAGCACATTTTTGCCATATATATGGTGTGTATATATACACACACACTATACTGGCTGGATTTTCAGAGCTGCTGAGCACTTCAGCTCGTGACCAATGGTTGGGTAAAACTTAAGCCCCGGCGTTCTTATCTACCAGAACAACCTCGGTCCCTAGTGACTTAGGGAAACGTCAAAAGTACATTCAGCACCTAAGAGCCAAGGCCAAGATTTCCAAAAGAAACTGGTGATTTGGGATGTCTCAAGTTTGTGGTGCTAACTTGAGGCTCCTTAAGAGCCTGTTTTTCAGAGGCGAGGTGCTCAGCACTGTCTGAAAATCAAACCCCTTTAAGGTGTCTCATGCTGGGCACCCAAAAATCACTATTGAAAATCTTAGCTGGTGTCATTGAGCGGCAATGCAGCTTAGCCTCCTTAGTGACTAAATCATTTCTTAAGATGGCACTTAGGCACCTAAGTCACCAGGCTTTTATGAAAATGTTACCCTAAGATGCTAGTCTTGGCTGGATCGCTCTAGTAAAGATTCCCCCATGCATTTCAACGGGCATCCTAGGTACTCAAAAATATTTTCTTCTCCGTCCTGCTACCTGTCAAATATTTGCAATCATCAGTGATTGTATTAAAAATATGAAAGCTTTAAAACATACTGATTATCCACACAACTCAGAAAATGGCAGCATTGGGATTATCTGGATTTATTTCTAATTATTCTGGATTTACTCCTAGAAAAGACAGAACAGCCATTTTGATCTGAATAGCTGATCTATGTTTCCCCTCTCACTTCATGATCATTTAGAGGAGGAAAGGCAGGCTCCAAAGCAAACAGACTAGGCAGCAATCTATAGAGTCCAAAGCATTGTATGTGGTTCATAGATCATACACCACGTACACTGATGTCTTCGTAGCTGGGCGGTGGTGTAGCACTGGGCTCACCCTGTGACTCTGTTTCCCTTCTGGATGACGTGGTCCTGAGCAGCACACTGTCTGAGGAGCTGCGTCTGCGGCAACCTGGCCACGTATCATCCTCATCTAAGTCTCCGTATAGAGGGGGTGAAGTCTCCTCCTTCCCGCCATGAGGTGGTATATAATCTAGGGTACTTTGAGCAGGCCTGCAGTTCAGGGCTTCTTCATAGGTGGGGATAGCATTGGCATCCCAGGCACTGAAACAAAAAGCAAAGCAAAACTGCATCAAGCTAAACCAAATCAAATGCATCAGGTTGTAAAATAGGATTTATAATGAAGTACAGGGACTAGGTAAAAGTAGCTATCGCATTAGCTAGCAGCTGCTCCAAAACTCCTGGCTACCTAATAGAGAGGTTTGAATTTGACCAGGTTACTCTTTCTTTAACGGGGGCGGGGGGACCTACCACTACCAATTGCATAAGAATAGTCACAATTCTTAAACCAGAGGTCCTTAGACTGTGGTCCCAAAGTGAGTCTGCAGGGCCCTTGCTGGTGGTGTACGGAGCACTTGCTGGACACAAAAGTTGCAAAAGCGCTCAGCATCTAACAGCTTCTACTGCGCCCCTGGTGCTGGTGGCTTCTCCTTCATTCCAGATGCTAAGCATTGCGTTAAAGGGTGGCTACATATTACTTTCTAATGTAAGCAATTTTTGTCGTTATCACACGGAAGTCAAGGAGGGTGTTTCAAGAGAAATTTTCTGCATGAAAGTGTGGTCCACTTTAATGAAAGACGTTTGAGTAACCCCATGAGTTAAGTGACTGAAGGCACTGAAGCACTGAAGGCAATTTTGGTCCATTGACACTCTGTGCCATGTGGTGGTGCTTATAACTGTGTGTTGAAAAGTGAGAAACTGTTAATACTTTACAGTGTCAACAGGCTGTGCATTTGGGCATCCCAAAGTGCGGGCCTCTCCTAATCTGACATGATCATGCGGCTGGTTTTCAGGAGACCTGGAGAGATGCTATAGCTTCAAGCTTCCTTCCCACCCTCTCCTTCAAATTGCTCTTCAGCATTTACTTCTGCTGTGATGTCTAGAGGAATTCAGCCAGCCAGTGATGCCTAGATTCTGTCGCAGTAGGGGCTAGCTGACTTTATTTATGTCTTTAAAAAAATTTTCACGTAATTTAGAACCAAAGACCCCATGACGATCCAAGATCTTATTGTGCTAACATGCCAAGGACAGTACAAACGTGCTGCTAGGTTGCATTCCTGCCTGGACAGGTATAGTTTGAAACTAGAAGCAAGAAGGGAGCGTGGTAAATGAAAGGAGGAAAAATGGAGGAAAGGGAGGATGAGGGTACCAAAAACAGTCCATGGGCAGATCCTGTCTGGGGTCTCTGGGTGCTGCTACAAGCCAAATACATATTATATTATTATTATTATTTATTATTAATAGTGTCCACTGTTAATCATTAACTAATCAGCAGTGGGGAGAACCTAGGAAAAACACAATGTTTGTGCCTTTCAACTTTGTTTTGCTGAGTAAACATAGGCTGTGTACAGGTAAAACATTTGCACAACCTTTGATCTTCTCACTTCCCCTTTCCTTGAAGGGAAGATTATTTTTCAAAGGGGGTGGGAAATGTGTGGAAGGCCATGACCACAAACCTCTCAGTTAAACCTGTAAAAGGGCCTGGCTTGAGACTTGATGTTTGTATTGCAGTGTTAGGATATGGCGACACACACACACACACACGCGCTCCAGAGAAACCCTGCGGGATCCCATGAAACCATCGAGCCATGATCCTGCCTTCGTCTGTAAACTATTGTACCTAAGGGAGCCAAAAGCTTGGGACTGAATGCCACAGCAAGGTGGCCATGTGTCACCACAGGAGACTTTCATCATTAGAATGGAACACAATGAAGTTTACATGTGAGGTGTTTACCTGAATTATCCACAGACCAGGCAGCGCCCAGACAGCCGCTGTGCAAACTGTCCTACACTGCCCTGCCAACGGTTCTCAGTCCTGCCCTAGTGCGAACACCGTTAGAGTTGCCATCTGTTACAGGAATGCTCTATAAAGGGGAAGGTCTGCATATAGGTAAATAGTTAGTAGATAAGGTGGTAGTAGATGATGCTCAAGAATTCTGTTTGTACAGCCCCAAGCGCAAGGCGGTCCTGGTCCATGACGAGGGCTCCTCGGCGTTATGGTAATATAAATAATAGTAACATTCAGCATTGTTCCTGGGGTTTGTAGGACCAATACATTTCTTCTTGCTGTGCACGGCAAGTGGCTTCTTGTGTGCAGCTCTTTACATGGAGCTCTTCACACCCACACACCAGTCAACAGGGTTCTCAGGCTCTTAGCAGGGCTAATTTAGTTGCAAGCCAGAATTTGCCCAATTCGCTTATGGTGAGAAACTGGCCTTTTTAAACAAACAAGTTTGAAAATCAACAAGTTGCCCCAGGCCGGCTGTGGGACGTTCAACGGAAGCCGGGTGGGAAAATTCCAAGAACACATTTGTTCACTGGAATTTGCTGATTTGTGGGAAACAAAACATTTCACAGAGACATTCACTTCTGATGGAACCCAGGCAGGGGTTTGACTGAAACCTGCCTGGCTCCTGCCTGCTCGCCAGCTCCTCAGCAGAGCACCTGCCAGACTGCCTCAGAAATGGGGAGCCCAGAGCTCCCCGGGTCTTTGGCTCCAGGACAGCGTACATGCCAGTTGGCCTTACAGCAGGGGACCTCAGGGCCTGCAGCTCCAGCGTAGACACCACGCAGACTGGCCCGGAGTCAGGGATCCATTCCCTTTGCGGATGAATTTGGTGGTTTCATTCCAAATCAGAACGAAACCAAATTTAAAAATATCGCAATCCTCCATGAAACAGAACGACCTTTCTCTGCCCTGCTCTGTTCAAAGGCTTCCAAGTGCAAAAGCCAACACAGCTGCTGTGGTGGAATGAGCTCATTCACAATGGCAATGCTTTCTTTGCTGAACTGTGTGTTTGTGGTGAACCCAGTACTGGGCTAATCACCTCCAGGTCATGGGGGTAGTACAGGAGAAGGGCCAAAATTAGTGGGCCAGACCTCAGCTGGTGTGCATCAGCGTAGTTCCGCTGAAGCCAAAGGAACTACACTGATTGGCACCAGCTGAGGCTCTGGCCCCAGATTTTAAAAAGCTTCCCAAAAAGCCTCTGGATGAGCAGGAGCCTGTAATTTGTGTCCCAAGAGAGAATTTTTACAGTAAGTGCTTATGTTCCTTTTAGACTTATTTTTTCCCATAGACTGATTTATAGAAGACACTTCTAAGGGCTTTTTCCCCCCTTGGTGATATATTTTGTTTTCAAAAACATCCCCGAAGCCACTCAGAGACAGAGAGCATGAGTACAGAAGAAAAAACAGTTTTGATTCAGAGCTGGGAACAAGTCCCAGAGATTCAAACCGGATGAAGAGTACCTAGCTAAATGTGCATTTTGGGGTGCTGGGGAGTCTGCCCCACAGCCCATCTAAGTCAGTGGGAATCTTTCCACTGACCTTAATGGACTTTGGATCAGGCCTTTTGTCTAACTTTTGTTCTACTTAGCAGTTAGTTGTGATGATTTTCTTTAGTATTTTTTTTACCCTGTGTCCA